TTAGGGTCCCTTATTTGGGGGTCCTTTTATCCTACTATTCGGGGTACTATATTAGGGTCCCCTATTTTGGGAAACCCCCATATGGAGCCCCGGAACCCTAAACCCTAAACCCTAAACCCTAAACCCATATGGAGCCCCGGAATGGTGGGTCTCTTCAGGTTCAGGTTGAGATGTCCAGAGGCTAAAACTCATGATCGAGGTTTAGGGTTTAGGGTTTAGGGTTTAGGGTTTAGGGTTTAGGGTTTAGGGGGCCAAAACCCCAAACCCTAAACCCTCAACCCCCTAAAGATCTGAACCCTAAACCCTAAACCCCTAAACCCGAAACCCTGAAGCCCTAAAAGGCTGAACCGCAGCCCCCAAGAGTTACCCGTAACCGACAAACCCTACCCTTTTAGGGTTTAGGGTTTAGGGTTTGTAAAAGAAAGTCATCACCTTAAACCCTATGCCCCAAACCCTAAACCCTAAACCCTACACTCTAAAACCCGTAAACCCTAAACCCTACACTCTAAAACCCTAAGCCCTAAACCCTACACTCTAAAACCCTAAACCCTAAGGGTCCAGGAAAGATTGAGGAAGCTTCGGCTTCGGGGATTCGGGTTCAGGGTTTCGGGCGTCGATCTTCGAAGCCTACACATATAAGCCCTGCACAGCTAGGGTTTAGGGGTTTAGCGTGTCGGGGTTTAGCGGTTTAGGGGTTTGGGGTTTGGGTTTTAGGCGTTTAGGGCTTAGGGGTAGGATTTAGGGGTTTAGGGTTTAGGGGGTTTGAATTTAGGGGTTCAGGGTTTGGGTTTTAGGGTTTAGGGGTGATCACCGAAAACCCTAAACCCTAAACCTAAACCCTCTGCCCTTCAGGTGTACCTCCACCACCGAGCCCTCAGCACGATCTCTCCGACGTGGTGAGATACGAAAGGCAAGGGTTCCGGGTTTAGGGTTCAAGGTTTAGGGTTTAGGGTTTATGCAGTTTGTCACGGTTTGCAACCGTTTAGGGTTTGCGGTTTGGTCAATGTTTGGGCTTTTGGCTTCTGTGAAAAAAGTTCTGTAAGTGTCCGAGCACCTGAAAAACACATACTCTGTAGTCTGGTACATGGCCGCACCAAGCCCGGGTACCTCTACAACTTCATGATTGCCGAATACCGGGCCCGAGCAATTGGCAATACTACGTCCTTGGTGGCCTCTGTATACTTATACAGCTATGCCCCAGAACCTTGTTCCAATGATTACAGAGCTTCGTTTATGAGTTGGAGTCCTGTGTGGAATATAAATGTTGATTGATGGGCTCCGTTGAGGGTTCAGGGTTCAGGCTCTAATGTAGAAGCCTAAATAATCACCAATACTAACTATAGTATCATATACCCCAAACCCTATTCTAACTTTAAGGCCCCTGTATATTAGGTGTGGGGAGTCCGTGGGCGGTCGTCGGCTGTTCTTGTTATGATTTTAGGGTTTAGGGTTAGGGTTTAGGATATCGGCCTTGGTCTGGTGTTGCAAGGCTTGCTGGAGATATGCCAAGATTTGTCGCAGCTCTTCCTTGTGATCGGTTTTCGGAATCCAAAGGGTCTTGAAGGTTTGGGGAAGGGGTCGGAACAGTATGTAACAATAGTCCCTTCCAAACAGTATACTCGAGTATACCTCCAAAAGCCTACCCTCATGACTAAACCCTAAACCCTAAGCCCTAAACCGTAAGCCCAACACCCTAAATCCCAAACCGTATGTAAGGCTTAGATGAGGTCTTCGGGAGGTCGGGTGTTGGGTCGGGTATGTAACAGTCACTAAACCGACAGGGGGCCCCTATATTAGTTGAGATCCCCGAGGCCCCAGTCCTCACCCTGAGCTCTTTCCCTGAACCCTGAAAAGAAGCTGCGGTAACCCTACAACCAGGCACCTAAACTCAAGGGAAAGCCTTAGGCCTTAGGCTAGGCTTACTAAAGCCGGCCCTACCTATGGTCTCCATTGTAGTTCCATGTTGGGGTTACCTTATAGGAACCTTAATATCTACTGGGTTAAACAAAGAAAGGAACTACAATGGAGACTAGACATAAAGCACCGCCTTGGTAATATCAGGCCGGCGTCAGCGGGTGCCTCTCCCGTTTCGGATGCTGCTTGTCACCCAGTGAGCTTCAGACCCTAAACCCTAAACCCTAAAGCCGAAATTTTAGCATGATTGAGCACCCAGTGAGCTTCAGACTTGAAACTCGAGATCAAGCGCTTTTGGCGGTTGCCCCGTCCGTTGCAGGCCGCAAGCAACTCTAAACCCGACTGCTCGGGAGCTTCTTTCTGGTCCTGAGGGTTTGGGTTTAGGGTTTTTTCACCCTAAACCCTAAACCCTAAACCCTAAACCCTAAACCCTAAACCGTGCGGATGCCAAACTTTGAACTGCTTATCTGCACTCCCCAAGGGCCCAATCAAAAAGTCACTTGCTGGGGTTCAGGATTGCAGCAGGACTGTAGGTTCGTCTTCTGGGGAGTATGCGATGAGTCCTAAACCCTAAACCCTAAAGCCTAAACCCTAACATAAATCCTTGGGCTCCTATGACAGGCTTCGAAGGTTTCTTGGGCACCGGACATACCATTCTCTAAGCCTGGGCAGTTTAGGAGTTTCAAGTCGATCCATCTTGCCACTACTACGGTTGATGATATAAATCCTGCATGGCCCATAAGAAGGAATATACCATAAATCCCATAGTTTAGGGTCCTGAAGGTAATGCAGGATTTATATAGGCAAGAGTGTCACTATGACGGTTACTATTGCTCTTGCCATTACTACTTCAGAGTGCTACTATTATATACTATTGACATAGGGTGGGGCAAATGGGTGAAAACCAAAGTCATACCCCTAAGCCAGGGAGGTTCTACTTTGGCTTCTCCATGTGGGTGTTGTCTTTGCCGGGTTTTGGGTTTAGGGTTTAGGGTTTAGGGTTTAGGGTTTAGGGTTTAGGGTTTAGGGATGCGTTGCTGTAAGGATCCTGCAATCTACAAGCTGAATCAAGAGAGGTTTGTTTGCTTGTGCTTATGAAAGAGCAAGCCGCTTGCTCTTTCACAGTGCTTTAGAAATTTACTACAAATCCCAAAGGCATTCCGTTGCTGAGTGGGTGTGTATGCGGGTGTTGTCCTGCTGTTGTGTGTGCGTGTTTGTTCGTGCGTGTGTGCGCTTGTTGGTTCGTTTGTCAGTCAGTCTGTTTGTTTGTTGGTTTGTTGGTTTGTTTGTGGGTCTGTTGGCTTGTTTGGTTGTGTGTTTGTTTGTTTGTTTGTTTGGTTCCTTCTTTCGTGATGTCGTTCTTGGGTTCTTCGTTTGTTTATTTGACACCCGAAACAGTCCCGAAACCAAAGCCCCGGCACCCGTGCCCTAGTCCCTCGACCCTGTATCCCTAACCATGAGCCCTTGAAACCCTGATGCGTAAACCCGAAGCCCGAAACCCAAATCTCGAAACTCTAGACCCAAAACCCTTAAAAAGGCACGTAAACGACACAAAAAACTAAGCCCTAACCCCAAAACCCTAAACCCCAAACCCTAAACCCCAAACCCTAAACCCTAAACCCTAAAACCCTAAAGCCCAAAACCCCAAACCCTAAACCCTAAACCC